TCCACGGGCGAGGTCCCACTAGCAAAGAGGATCGGATCGAAGGCCTGAATCTGGACGTGTTTTACGCAGAGATGCAGAAAAGCAGTTCAATCTCGATTTCCTGCACCTCTCAGCAAACTCGTCCAGATTCGGGCATTCTATCCGATCCTCTTTGCTAGTGGGACCACGCCCCAGACGAACGTGAATGTCAAAGCGAAAGAAAAAAAGAAGTAATTGGCACACAATTTCACGCAGTTCATTGGTTGGTACTTTACGTTGGCCAGTACAACAACGTGAGTCAGGCGGGGCCGTCGATGCGAAGTGCGATCTGCGGATCGCCTGTGTCGCCCTCAGTCGCACGTAAAAAAAAAATGCGCCACTAGAATTCTTCGCTAGTGGGTCCAGGCCCCTGCTACCGGGGGCCAAGTGCCACTACGGTAGCAGCGTTGAGCGACCTCAACGCCTGAATCTGGACGTGTTTGTGGAGACGTGCAGTTCAGGAAACTGAACACCATTTCTGCACATCTCGGCAAAAGAGTCCAGATTCAGGCGTTGAGGTAGCTCAACGCTGCTAGTGGGACTTGGCCCCGGTAGTGGAACCGTGACCCCGCTCTTTTTTTTGTTTTTTTTTCTGTTCTCTCAATTTCATAGAGTACACCACACGACAAAAAAAAAAAAAAAAAAACGCGAAGAGAGAACACTATTGTGGTAGAGGAACGAAAACAAGAAACTTAAAAAAAAAAAACAAAAAAAAACAAAAAAAAAACAAAAAACGACTGTGTTTGGTTGATGACGTCACCTGAACAACTCGCTACGGAAACGCCGAAGAATACAAAAAAAAAACAAAACGAAAGACTATCTCCGCCGGAGTCAAATCCATTCGTGGTGACTACGTTGCTGACGTGGCAGTCTGCCACGCGGCACCTTTGCAAAACAGCCCTCAGCGGACGCAGCTGCTGACGTGGCATTCCTTTTCCTTACCTCTTTTCACTCATCATCTATGCATGCTGACGTGGCATTTCGTTTCCTCACCTCTTTTCACTCATTGTTGTCATCTAAGGATGCTGACGTGGCAATTCTTTCCCTTACCTCTATTCACACATCATGCTGACGTGGCATTCCTTTTTCTCTACCCCTCTGCGACGACGACGAGGACCTCCATTTCTTTCTTTTTTTCCCCCACAAAACACAAGGCTCCACTTTCACCCACCATCTACAACTGCTGTTTTTCTCGACCGCCCCCCCCCATAGAATATACTGTCGTTATGGTTGTATCTAGACTCCTGATGAGCAGGGAGGTGAAACTCCGACGAAACAGTTTGTCACAGCCCCCCCCTCGTTTGTTGTCCTCTTCTCCTTCTCCCTCCCTCTCTGCCCCTACGCTTTACCGTACGCAGCTCTGCTCTGTTTGACGATTGATATGTCGATATGTCTTTGATAAAGAAGGGAATCAAAGATTAAATAGACTTCGCTGAGGCTCGGTCCACTACACAACGGTCTTCGTGTATCTGGACCATACTGCGAGGCTACGCCCGCTTAGCCCCTACGGGGCCCTATCTGCAACAAGGTCGGCCGCCCTAAGTGAAGGCAGGCACGACAGGCCCTTCGGGCCTCATTCTTCAGGGTACCCCGCAACGGGGAAATTCAGACAGTTGCATTGCGCCAGTTGGTTGAATGAATCCAGGCCCTGGGCCGCCTGTGTAAATGAATGTGAAGCAGGCCCTGGGCTGGATACGGGTACCAGGCCAAACACAGACCCAAAGCAGTTGGGCGCATGCAACCACTTCAGGCCCCAGGCCTGCTCCCTTCGTGACTGGGCCTGTACCTACCGGGGCCTACCGGAAGTTTCCTGGACTGGACGCAGGCAGGCCACTTCGATATAGGGAAGGGCCTGCCTCCTCATTCGGCATTCGGGTGCTGGCTGCATGCTGCGTGAGCGCCGCTGCGCAATCCGCTGGCTGGCTGGCACTCRCGCTCTCACGGGCGAGTAGGAGGGAGCACGCAGCCATAGCCAAGCTGCGCTGCTGTATGCTAGGTGAAGCGCAGGGTGGTCCTTGGGGTGCTAGTGGCATCTGTGCGGACACTCACAAGAGACATACCTGGTGCTGAAGCGTGCGACATTGGTCGCCATATGCTCGTACTTCGGGAACGCTGTTGATGTCATCATTCTGCTTCGTAGTATAGGCTAGATAGGATCTGCCACCTGTAGTCTGGGCGCCGAGCGCCAATAGGATATCAACTCTGGTTCGTAGTTGATGATGATGGGACTTCTTCAGCATTGTCAATTTTGAACTCTTGGTGTGTTCTTATTTGGTGTATCTCGTGATGCCAGTCTGTTGTGGTTCGAGGTCAAGACTATCTGGGCTCATATGTATGATGCTGTTTGATTGCTGAAGTTCGCTAATGCTCATCTTCCTTGCAGTACTCTGCCCAAGATACATTCTGATTAATCCAACATGTCGAATGTATCAGCACCATTATCAGTTCCGGATACATTTATAACAGTGTGTTATAGAGTGCTGCCCAATGACATGACTATATAAATCATACGCTCGCAATTGAAAAACATTTTTTCCCAATTAACAACCCTAAAAAAAAAAAAAAAACCGTCCTTTTCTAATAGGAACATGATCGAAAAACAATCAACGGTATAGATTTGACGCAACATTCATTACCCCTCACTATTATTACTATTATTATTATTATTATTATTATTATTATTATTATTATTATTTAATAAAACATTATCCACTCGGTATTTAATAAACATTATTATTTAAGAAAACATTATCCATTCGAGCCTGGCGTCCAAAAGACACTTTAGCATTTTTATTTTTATTTTTTTGAAATAATTTGGACCATTTCTCGAGATTTATGCCTGTCATCCTTGCGCAGGGGGGCCATGTGCTAATTTACCCTTCTTCTCTGTATCGTTCCAATTTTAACGGATGTCCCGAAGGACACACTTTAAATTCTGAGGTCCCCGGCCTCAAGAGTTTTCTCATTTACCATAAATTAATGCTGTTTCTTGTATTAAAAAAAAAAAAAAAAAAAAAAAACTATCAGCAATGAATCATTCATAATGTGCCTTTGATAGGGGAAAATGATCAACAGATTTGAAGAAACGTTGATGAAACATTGATGGCACGTTCCATGCACGTTCCATGAATGTTCCATGAACGTGCCATCAATGTCCCATCACCGGTACACAGATTTGAAGGAACGTTGATGAAACATTCATGGCACGTTCATGGAACATTCATGGAACATTCATGGAATGCAAACATTATCCAAACATTATAAATCACATCCAGATGCACCTGTTCCAAAAGACACTCAGCAATTAATGATTCAAAATATAAACCTGACTGGCTGATATCACAAAAAAAAAAAAAAAAAAAAAAAAAGCCCTCAAGATCGACAATCTACGATAAGTGATCAGCGAATCGAACACGTAGATACACTGAACGAGGTCAAGAATCGACGGACGGTAAAAGACGTGTCAAGTCAGCATGCCACGTCAGCGATATCCCCACCACTCCATTTGCCTCCTCCGAGTCAACGGAGCCACGGTCATTCATCAATAAATCCAACCGTCCCAGTGGATGGATTTACCGATGTATATAGTCTTAATTCATTGATAAATTCATTGATTAACTGATTGGTTCCTTCATTCAATTTCATTCATTTAATTCATTCACTCATCATGATTGCTTACTTCATCGATTGACCCATTGACAGTTCGATTGATTGATTGATTGATTGATTGATTGATTGATCGATTGATTGATCGATTGATCGATTGATTGATCGATTGATCGATTGATCGATTGATTAAGATTGATTGAGATTGATTGGTTGGTTGGTTGGTTGATTAACTGATTCATTCATTCATCGTAGATAGCTTACTTCATCGATTGACAGTTGATTGATTGATTGATTGGATTGATTGGATTGATTGATTGATTGGGTACATTCGGAGAAATAACAAGTCCCGATCCAATAAATAATATTACCCAAAGCGCCAAACCAAAACATTAGATTTGGATGTCAACAAAAAAAAGGATGTCAGAACCCCTTCCAAGAACCCTAAAACCCTACACCAACGAACCCTGACGAATTCGATGTAAAAAAAAAAAAAAAAAGGCAATCTGCTTGCAAACATCAGCCTGCAGTTTCTTTTAACAGTTCATGCGCGCATCCGGATTCGATCTTGGGTCGATATTTCAACAGTTCATGGGTGAATTTCGACTGAGCTACAGTACGCGCGTTGGTAGCCTGATTGTTTTTTTCTTTCTTGATTTTTTTTTTTCTTCCCGCAAGTATAGCTAACATCCGTCTGATGGAAAGAGGGACTTTTTCTACTAATCCTTGCCTTGGACGTGATTGCGGTCAGATTCATCCCGCTCTGGTCGTACTTGCACTCAGATACACGTAGGAAAGTGCTACTGTGAGTGAGTATATGCCCTGATGTTTTCTTTCCTTTTCCGGAAGAACTAACTGCAAACATCAGCTAAAAGGGAAAGAAATTGCTTTTGCTTTTTGCTTTTTTTTTTCCCCCCAAGCACTGAAAAAAAAAACACCAGTCTTGACAAATTGGCCGCTACACGAGGAGAACGAACCTGGACAGACGAAATCTTCTTCTTCTTCTTCTTCTTCCTTGAACACTGTCTCAGAAATCAAAACCACCGTCGACGCTTTTTCTGAGACGCACTAGAACCCTCGATGTTGAGACGCACTAGAACCCTCGATATTTCCGTTCCGTTCTGTTCTCCCCAACATCAGCCTCCCGCCCAAATCCCATCTTCTTGCACTCTCTCCAGTACACCATCGATATTGTCCCTAAAACCCTCTCTCTCTCTCTCTCTCTCTCTCTCTCTCTCTCTCTCTCTCTCTCTCTCTCTCTCTCTCTCTCTCTNNTCTCTCTCTCTCTCTCTCTCTCTCTCTCTCTCTCTCTCTCTCTCTCTCTCTCTCTCTCTCTCTCTCTCTCTCTCTCTGTGTATTGTACAAACACCTCCAAACAGTAAACGTATATCACATCCCTACATAGATATCAATTAGTTAGTAGATATATATATATGCACATATAGATAGATATCTACCTCCTGAACTCCTTCCTTCGTGTGAGTTTAAACATCAACACTGTTTTGCCCGTTTGCCCCCGCTCCTCTCTATGACTCACTATGTCATACAATCCTTCATACACGTACATCTCTTTTCCCGTCTCCTCTTTCCTTATTACCCTCACAGGAACTCCCCGCGCCTTACTCTCCATCAACGCTTTATTGCGCCTGCTTCTTTCCGGCTGCGAATCACCGACTGCCACGTTGCACTTGGTGGTCCCGCTCGGCGTTTCCCCAGAATAGAAGAGCGTGTCGCGTTCCTTGTCCGTCCGATCGTCGGCGTATTTCCCGGGCGCATACAAGATAGACACTGCCACGTGTTTTTTTTCGCCGGCGTAGAAAATACCTTTCGTACTGATCCCCCCCTCGTGATTGCGATGAAGGCCAAGAGCAGACAACTCTACCCTGTCCCCAAATTTACTACCTACACCTATCCCCTCCTTATGCCCCTCCAAATCGTCTAGCCACAGACTACCCCTCCTAATCACTGTCAAGACCTTCATATCTGGTCGCGTGAGCTCATCAGCTGTCTTGGTACCTAATTCCCGGTGCTGCTTTATCTTCTCCGCTACAGCTACCTTCAACCAATGATAACATAGATGTGCTTTCACTACCTCGTCCTCCTCCTCCACGTCCTCCTCCTCCTCCTCCTCCTCCTTCTCCTCCTCCTCCTCCTTCTCCTCCTCCTCCTCCTTCTCGATCTTGATCTTGATCTTCCTGCCATAACAACTACCATAACAAGACGAAACAATAGCATCCTCCTCCCTTCTCCCTCTCTCTTTCTCTCTCCCTCTCTCTTTGTCCCCCCCTCTGTCTCCCTTTCTCCCCTCCCATTGGTCATCCTTCTCGATAGTGCAACACCACGTGGTTCGGTATCCAACGGCCCATGATCTCAGTTGCTTAAGGCTCAAGCCTGGCCATGTCACGAAGAGTTCCTCAGCCCTCTTCCTCTCGTCTCCCTCTCCCTCTCCCTCTCCCTCTCCCTCCTCCTCTCCTTCAGCGTCATTCCTCCTCCTCTTCTTATCCGTAATCTCTCCTTCCACTCCAGCTCTCCATCGCTGCTGCTGCTCCTGCTGCTGCTGCTGCTGGGGAATCGACCTTCGCCTCAAGTCTGGCGATGGCTGTCCGTCGGCAGACCGAGCAGGAGGAGGAGGAAGAAGACGACGACGTGGAGGAGGAGGAGGAGTAGGAGGAGGGTTGATCTTTTTCCTTCCTTTTGTCTTCGCATTGGCCAACTGTTGCAGAGCTTCGTCATCAGACATTATTTTCACTTGACGTCTCTGAAAATGCGAGTCATACTTGCTCCCTTTCCACATTTCGCTCTCCGACGTACCGACCGGCTTTCGTTCGACTGAGTTCTTCGCCCTCTGAAGAGGCAGCATTTTCCCAGAACCTTCTTACATTCACCGGCATTGATTACACCACATCGCCTAATTGATTACTTAATTAGCTAATTAATCAAATCAATCATTACTTAATAATAATTAACTACTCATTAACTAGTAATAATAAACTATCTTATATTACTTGATTACTTGATTACCTGCCCCGGCGCGCAAATCACTTTGCAAGCTGCATCTTTTTCCGTTCATCTGCTGCTCTGCCACTGTGTTAATATTCTGCTGCTGGTCTTCTGGGACTCGACCTCTCGATCTCCCGATGAATCTTGATTACATAACCTCTCTCTCTCCTCAAGGCGTGTACCATTTTTCAACCCGGTCCACATCACGTCGAGGCTCCTCCACCTTCCCGCTCTGGCTATGGGCGTCTGCGCTTCTCGCAGTTTTGGCTATGGCTGTCTGCCCATCTTCTTCCCCCCCGCTCTGACCATGGAACGTCCACCCTTCCTCTACCTCTTGACTATGGATGTCTCCGCTTCCTGCAACTCTGGATATGAAGGATGTCTGCGCTTCTTCAAGCTTTTGGCTATGGATGGCGGCCCTTCTTCCAGCTCTGGCAGTGTGAATGTCTTACGTATCTTGCACCTTTTGGCTATGGATGCCTACGCTTCACCGGGATCTTCTCCCCGTTGACCTCCATGTCTTTCACGTCGCCTTTTTATCACACAGAACCAACCACCTCCTCGTCGTCAATCTCTATTCTACCCAGCTTTCCTTCCCTTGGGCTATGCTCTCCTCTCGACCCTCTTCTTCTCTTTCCTTTTTCCGAAACATCGTCGGTTTCCCTCTTCCCGCTCGTTCATCCTCTCATCATCATCATCATCATCATCATCAAGCAATCCCAACCAGACTTGCTCCGCCACGTCGGACGAGATGCCGGCCTACGTGAGAGTGAGGGGGGTTCACTACCAAGAGAGTCCACAAACGCGCCAATGAGCCCACAAAACGCGCCAATGTGCGCAAAAAACGCGCCAAGTTCTTCAAAATACTCAGGTGATCACTGTGTACTCAGAGACTGGCCTCTACAACACCATGGACTTTTTGTAAAGAATTTAAAAAAAAAAAAAAAAAAAAAAAAAAACTGTTGCCATTCGTACAAATTTTTATTTTTTTTTCCTCCCTAAAATAGTGTGGAGGGCGGTTTTCGACAAAAAAAAAACGAAAAAAAGACAGAGGGCTAACGGGCAGGCCAAACGGCTGGGCCAAGGTCCCGCTACCGGTAGTAGCGAAGAGGATTGGATTGAACGGCCGAATCTGGACACGTTTGTGGAAAGGTGCAGAATATCGAGCTTGAACTGCCTTTACGAATCTCAGCTTGAAACACGTCCAGATTCAGGGGCTTAATCCAATCGTCTTTGCTAGTGGGACCTCGGCCCTGGTGAAAAAAAAAGGGGATATAATTATGTCTACCCGCAAATATATACAGGTTCGTTATATGGAAAGGTAGAGCCCCACAAATATATGGAGCCCGAGATATTAGGAAAAAAAAAAAAAAAAAACTGGCAATGTATCTTTCGATGCCCTAGGGGAAGATTCAGAACGTACTCAACTAGCCCTTTCCGGGTCGTATCTGGCGGCAATTCCACGGATGAATATGACCGCAATTGCGACCAGAGCTGAGTAGAAAAAGTCGTTAGCGTGAGTATGCCCTCTGTCTCATTTTCCACATTTGGACAGTAGTGGAGAGAAGCGGCTCGGTTCGTCCTGTTCAGGGGCGTGGTCCCACTAGCAAAGTGGTTTGGATTGAATTCCTGAATCCGGACGTGTTTTGCGCAGAGATGCAGAAAAGCAGATTAATCGCAACTTTCTTAATATCTCCGCAAATTCGTCCAGATTCTGCCATTAAATCATTTCTTCTCTGCTGATGGGATCAGGCCCCAGATCTGTGGACGGTTTGACGCGCTTTTTTTTTTTTTTTTTTTTTTT